AAAATAGGCCTTTGTAAAGGTAAATATGCAGATTTAAGTATGTAAACGCTGATAGAACACTGATGAAAATATTGCTTCAGAATAAATAGTTTACTCCACCAAAAATCTCAGTGATGCAGTTATTTTGTGGGGATATTTTGTATGGAATATTGTCTGCTGACATGAAAAGTTAACTGTATAACGTAGTAATAAATACCATTTATTACAGCATTGATATTTTGTTTTCTTTTTAATTTATACACATTAAATATTACATATATGTATGTAATAAAATGTGTATTTCCATTACAGGTTTAGGTCTTAAATTTCATATAAGGTGGTATTAAAAAGGTCTTAAAAAGTCTTAAATTTAACTTGTTCATGTCTGCAGAAACCCTGCTAGCTTTTTCATGTTCTCACGCCACGTAAAACGTAAACACGTCACAGACATTTTTGTAGAAAACATAATAAATGTCTTTGCAGAAACAAGCGTGTGTTGTTGCGATCTGTCAAAGTCAAGCGGAAAAAGACAATATACTTCTAAGTATACTCACCTCTTTGAGTGTTGAAACAAGCGGAGACGGCTTCCTCATAAGACGAAATCCATAATAATAATACAATCCAGCGCGACGGCAACATGCTGTCATGACGTAAGAAAATATCTGTATTGCAAACTGTATTGCTGTTATTGTTGTTTTTAGCGTTGGCATAACAACGCAACGGCATTGCCATAGTAACTAACGCACATTCAGTAAAACGAAGGAGCGCTTATGGACACAAATCGGATATTGCAGTTGCGATACACTGTGTGGACAGTCAGTTATTCAAATCAGATTCCATCCGGATATGCACAAAATCGGATTTTGGCTGACAGTCTGAACGAGGCTTTTCATACCCTGTTTACACCTGCTGTTAAGAGCTGCCTCGGGTGATCTGATCACAAGTAAACAGACAGACCACCAGTTATACCTGGTAGCAACATGCGTGCGTCTCTTGTGAACACTTGTGAAAGGAGGGTCTCTGATTTCATCACTCCACGCATCGCTGTGTTGTTCTGTTTTGAGCAGATTCTGTGCTCAAAAGATAGTGGAGTATCTGTATTAACTGAACTTTGAATGCGTGTTGCTTCATGTTGATGTCAGGATGCTCTTAACGCTAATTAGGGGCGTAACGGTACATGTATTTGTACAGGAAATGTTTGATACAGGTCTTTCAATTGAGCACGCGTGTGTACTGAATGAATGCAGCATTGTTTTAACCACTGCATGTGTGGAACCTCTTGTCTGTGCAAACCTTAGGATGATATTGTGAACACGTCTGAAAAATAAATAAACTTCACAGACTTCACGTAACAAGCACCTATGTGCACATGAGTGTCTAAAAGACAGAGAACGCGATAGAATAGGAGCATAATAATTCTGAATAAAATGTATATTTTGCTAAAATATTTAGCATCCAAAAGTGAAAGCATTTCAATGTCTTCCCCCAACAGCGCTGTAAACTGCAATACAGTGTGTTGCAGCAGTATTGACAGACTTTATTTATTTACAGAGAGAGCCATACTCTGTAAACTACTGTTTAATAAAAAGAAAAAGGCAATTTTGTTTAGTTCTCACCCGCTGTACTGAAAACATACTGAATCTTGACTTTAAAAGCAAGTTGAACATTGAACATTTTTGTGTACCATTACACCACTAGTACTACCGTAAGTGCAGCAGGATTTGATAAAAAACTAATTGGCCGCATTTGCACCTGTATTTAACACCGACAACTTGTGATCGGGTCATCCGAGACTATGCTGATGATCTGACTTATATCAGTCCAATAATTGCGTATCATGATCAAACATGTCTCAAACACACACTCCTTAGCATTCTGCCCGCTTCAGATCAGACAGAGATGAAATAGTGCAGTAAGATCACACTTATTAGAATTAATTATAACATTTAGCTACTTGAATTAATTATTCGATCGATCGATCAAGTGAGAGAGAGAAAGAGAGAGGTGACCGTTGCGTGTGTGAAATAGTCTACCCGAGTCATCTACAAACCATGAAGCTGTGAGTTTGCTGATGAATATAATGTAGCGAGTCAGTATCCAAGCTATTTTATTAATAAAAAAGTCAAGGGGCAACGTTCACAACAAGCTTGTGTGTGTGCAGCTCGATCTCCGATCTCACAAAATAGACATTATTTTCAGGCCACATGTAAAATCATATGAATTATTATAAAGATTATTAAAAAGAATACATGACAGTTGATTACAATAATAGTTCAGCTTATTTCCCTCATTTAGTTTTCCCTGTGGGATAAATAAAGTTAATATTAGTCTTATATTAATAATACTTCATTAACATTGGTATTAATTGACCCTGTTTTATTCATAAGTCTAAAACCAACAATAATTTTTTCACAAGATTTTTTGAATTTGATGCTATTCAGGTTATCTGCCTCAGGTCTAAAAGAAATAATGTACAAAGTGAAAACACTAAATACTTTTTAATTAGTTATTTTCAGAAGGGAAATACAGTCATGGATGTTTACAGGGCAGAGGCCACCCTTTTTTTTATTCCAATAGGAGAGATGGACTTTTGGTTTGCTTTATTATTATTATTTTGTGCTGTGGGCCTATTATTGGTTACTGTGTTGTTTCTGGTTCAAAAGGCAGCAATAAATAACACTTTAAAATCTAAAGAGTGTTCATGTGATTTTATAATTATAACATTTAGCTACTTGAATTAATTATTCGATCGATCGATCAAGTGAGAGAGAGAAAGAGAGAGGTGACCGTTGCGTGTGTGAAATAGTCTACCCGAGTCATCTACAAACCATGAAGCTGTGAGTTTGCTGATGAATATAATGTAGCGAGTCAGTATCCAAGCTATTTTATTAATAAAAAAGTCAAGGGGCAACGTTCACAACAAGCTTGTGTGTGTGCAGCTCGATCTCCGATCTCACAAAATAGACATTATTTTCAGGCCACATGTAAAATCATATGAATTATTATAAAGATTATTAAAAAGAATACATGACAGTTGATTACAATAATAGTTCAGCTTATTTCCCTCATTTAGTTTTCCCTGTGGGATAAATAAAGTTAATATTAGTCTTATATTAATAATGCTTCATTAACATTGGTATTTATTATCCCTGTTTTATTCATAAGTCAAAAACCAACAAGATTTTTTTCACCATATTTCCAAGTTCTCCACCTCTGGTCCAAAAGTAATGTAAAGAATGTACAAAGTGAAAACACTAAATACTTTTTAATTAGTTATTTTCAGAAGGGAAATACAGTCATGGATGTTTACAGGGCAGAGGCCACCCTTTTTTTTATTCCAATAGGAGAGATGGACTTTTGGTTTGCTTTATTATTATTATTTTGTGCTGTGGGCCTATTATTGGTTACTGTGTTGTTTCTGGTTCAAAATGCAGCAATAAATAACACTTTAAAATCTAAAGAGTGTTCATGTGATTTTATACACTAGTAATGTTGTGAAATGAATAAATGCATAATAATCGTGACACCGTGATTATTCCTCATACAATAATCGTACCAACAAAATCTATAATCGTTGAATCCCTACTACACCGTTACTACGACATTACTGTATAGTCTAATGTTGTGTTTCAGACCCGGCAGAGCAGCTCGTCCCCCACTAGTCTGTGTTTTGTGGACTCTATGATTTCTACCAGACAGATGGTGGTCAAGAGTGTTCAGGTAGGACTCTGCATAAGTGCACTTACTCTCAAATAACAATAATCTCGGTTTAGAACTAATCAAGTAGATTTTTTTTT